GCCAGGGCTGGTGTCAGAGCTGATATTCATGGTGGAGATGGTGCTAGAGCTGGAGCTGGAGCTAGAACTGGAGCTGATATTCATGGTGGGGCTGGAGCTGAACCAGTACCAGAGTTGGTATCGGTGCCGGAGCTCGAGCTGGAGCTGATGTTTATGGTGGAGATGGTACTGGATCAGTGCCAGGGTCGATGCCAGAGCTGATATTCACAGTGGGACTGGTGCTGGACCAGTGCCAGGACTGGTACCAGTGCTGGTGTTGGAGCTGATATTCATGAAGGGATTGGTGCTGAACCAGGACCAGGGCTCATGCTGGAGCTGGAGCTGGTGCTGGAGCTGATATTCATGGTGGAGATGGTACTGGACCAGTGCTGGGGCTGGTGTCGGTGCAGGGGCTGATATTCATGGTGGGGCTGGTACAGGACCAGTGCCAGGGTTGGTATCGGTGCTGGAGCTGGTGCTGGTGTCAGAGCTGATATTCATGGTGGAGATGGTGCTGGAACTGGTACCCGTGGTGTGACTGGTGCTGGACCAAGGCCAGGGCTGGTGCTAGAGCTGGTATTCACAGTGGGGCTGGTATTGGAGCTGATATTCACAGTGGGACTGGTACTGGACCAGTGCCAGGGCTGGTATTGGTGCTGGAGCCGGAGCTGGAGCTGGTATTTATGGTGGAGATGGTGCTGAACCAGTGGCAGGGCTGGTTTTGGTGCCTGAGCTGGTGCTGGAGCTGATCTTCATGGTGGGATTGGTGCTGGACCAGTGCCAGGGCTGGTGTTAGAACTGGAGCTGATATTCATGGGGGAGATGGTACTGGACCAGTGCTGGGGCTGGTGTTGGTGCCAGAACTGGTGCTGGAGCTGATATTTATGGTGGAGATGGTACTGGATCAGTGCCGGGGCTGATGCTGGAGCTGGAGCTGATATTTATGGTGGAGATGGTGCTGGACCAAGGCCAGGGCTGGAGCTGGTGCTGGAGCTGATATTCATGGTGGGGCTGGTATCGGAGCTGATATTCTTGGTGGAGATGGTACTGGACCAGTGCCAGGGCTGGTATCGGTGCTGGAGCTGATATTTATGTTGGAGATGGTGCTGAACCAGTGGCAGGGCTGGTGTTGGTGCCTGAACTGGTGCTGGAGCTGATATTCATGGTGGGCTGGTGCTGGACCAGTGCCAGGGCCGGTGCTGGAGCTGATATACATGGTGGAGATGGTGCTGGTGCTGGAACTGATATTCACGGTGGAGATGGTACTGGACCAGTGCCAGGGCTGGTGCTGAAGCTGGAGCTGATATTCATGGTGGGACTGGTGCTGGAGCTGATATTTATGGTGGGGCTGGTACAGGACCAGTGCCAAGGCTGGAGCTGGAGCTGGAGCTGGTGCTGGAGCTGATATTCACCGTGGGATTTGTGCTAGACCAGTGCCAGGGCTGGTGCCAGTCCTGGATCCACCAGCAGTCCCAGAGCCAGCCCCAGACCCCGCTCCCACCTCCCCACATGTCCAGATGAGTCTCATCCCACCGGCGATTCCCCCAAGGCAGGGAGCAGCTCGGCCGTGCCGGACCCTCTGAACACCCCACAATGTGCAGGATGGGGGTGAACCCCTCACTTTTTCCCTGTCCTCACCCCATCCCCATCCCCCAGGAATCGTGGAGGAGTACCGCCCGCCCTTCTTCGACGCCGTGCCCAGCGACCCCAGCTTCGAGGACATGAAAAAGGTGGTGTGTGTGGACCAGCAGACCCCTGTGATCCCCAACCGCCTCTTCTCCGACTCGGTGAGTCCCGGGTGAGCCGTTCCCCTCCCAACCCGAGCGGGATTTTTGCTTCCCATTAAAACCATTTATCGCTCATTTTGTGCCTCCCCAGGTTCTGTCGGCGCTGGCGAAGATCATGAAGGAGTGCTGGTACCAGAGCCCCTCGGCCCGGCTCACCGCCCTGCGCATTAAAAAGACTTTGAAGAAGCTGAATAATTCCGTGGAGAAGCCGAAATCGGAGC